CTAAAAGCAAGACTGTGAGCTGAAAGCAAGTACAAACAGAAGAATTCATAGTGTACTATTGACTTCATGTTCAAAAACATGCAAAATTGGAAATTATATTGTGTAGGAATTGTTATCCATGAAAACATAAAGCCATACAGAAAACACTAACTAAAAATTCAAGTTAATGGATCCCTGTTGGGAGAAATGCTGAAGTTGTGATTGCAGAAGGAAATGCAAGGGCCTTAAAAATTCGAACTATCCTATGTCTTAACTAACTCTATGTCTGAAACGAATATTCTGTGTCTTAAAAGAAAGGCAGGCACTTTTATTTTTTTCATATACTTTTTTGATGTGTGATTATTTTACACTTTTTAATTTTAAAAATATAGAAAATGTAAAACAATGGAACTGAGATATCAAAACATTTTACAGAACTGAGAATTTTCAGAAACTGTGCTTCTAGAAGCTTGCCCAGTCACTACCAGGAGAATTCTAACCCAACAAACAATGGGAAAGTTCTGCCTTGACCATTCTGATATATTTATACCATACCAGTTACCCTATGCTAAAAGCATTGGCTTTGGAAGAACAGTTCTGTTTGCAGTTTCTGAAACTGAGTGAGTCCCAGTTTGCACATTTATGCAGTTAGGATTGACAGCAAGGATTGTTTAAAGATAAAATGGGATTGTGAGAGATAAATACCGGGCATTCTTCTAGCACCAACAAATGGTGGTTCCCTTCCCTTCACCATCTGTGCCACCCTTTCTTATTAAGCACCCCAGTTATTTGTACCAACTCACACAGTTTTCTGAACTTTCGGTTTGCTTGCCATTTTATTTGAAAGTACTTTTACAAATATTATTGCATTTGATCTTCCAATTTAGACATCAGAAGCAAGAAATTACTATGCGAATGCGAACACTGACATTCATACAGATGAAAGACAACGGCAGCAATGTCCAAAATTCTGGAAAAACCCTGGTTGCAACTATTACATCTGTTATTCCCAAAATATATCTTTTAAGTCAAGAGAAAAGCTCTAATACCGGACACCTAAATGACATCTCTTAGGCTACTACTTGACCCTAAAAGCATATCCTGTCAAATGCTCTTATTTGAAATTGGGAATTATATAATCACTAGACTGCTAAAAACCTAAAATTACAGAATCAAAGGGAGAACAACTCCAAGATTTACCCCTTTCAAAGAACTGAAATATATTTAAGCATGTTTCAGATACATTCACATCTTTCTGGAAAAAAAAGAAAATTCTCAACTGGAAATAGTGTAATTGCAACTCTGTGGCCTATTTTAGATACATTCCCTTGGGAAGAGCTGCCACTTAATTGTCAGCCCCATGAATTTAGAAGAATGTTTTATTCAGGCATCATCCCCAGAGCTCAAGACTTCAGAGAGCTTAGAAGGAAACACTAACACGTGACAAGAAATGCTCATCTAACAGCCTCCTTCCCCAATGACTACCTGACCCTTGACCTAATTAATTTTGTTCTTTTATTTTGTGGCTTTTCTACAATGAGAGTAAGTCACCAATGGCCTCAAATGCTAATTACACAACCCACAACACACCCAGGAACAGTAAAGTGTATTGAGAAGGCATTATCTTCTTTTATCTTCCGTCTTGAACAGTATTTTTGAGAGCAAAGCCTATAAAGAAAAGCTATGTGTCTCTATTGGCAACATTGTGACAGGCCTGTCCCTACAAGACTCAAAGGATTATTTCAGAGAATTTTATAGAACCAGGATGACCCATTGAGGCAAAGTCCCTTTCCTAATTGGCAGTGAAGAGTGAGCGTCACCAAAGCCCTGCACTGAGACCAAAGAGGTGGTGAGGAAGAGCTGTGCAATGAGCCATAAAACCTGACAAACCCTGGTGACCTGGAGTGACTTTAATGGCCACTCACAATCCATCCACATCCACTCACATATTTCATTTATTCGGGCTGCTGCAAGAGGTGACAGAAAGGAAGTTGACTATTTCCATTCTTCTCATTTCTATTTTTGCCCCTCTTTGAGTCCTGGGTTTTTCCAAGAAAATCTTGTCCCTGGCTGTCAGACAAGATGTTCTGAGTTTTCATCAGCAGAAGAAGGCTTTTCTTATCAGGACTTCCTAATCAATTTACAAATGAGAATAAATCAACTTTTGTTGAACTTTGAGTTTCACATGCTGAGCAAGGCACTTCACAAGTTGAATTTTTCTAAGAACCAATGAAAGATGAGTCAAAATTATTTACCACCCCTCATCTGCACAGGGAAAAAAAAAAACCTAAATAACTCTCTGTGTTATTTTACTGCTCTCCCTTTGCTCTTAAGCCCAAGTTCCACTGAGGACAGAAATTGCAAGAAAAAAAACTTTATCTTGACAATCCAAGGTAGCTAAGTCCTGAGTAATTACTCAGTCTTTCAGGATTATCCCCCATTCTCAAACGTTTTTCTTTTCTACATCTCCACCGCGAGATGATAGGTAATAAGATTCAGAGAAAAGCCTATCTAGTCTGAACCTAGGGTGAATCATGAATAAAGGTTTTCCAGAAGAAGAAAAAAAAAATGGTTTAACAATAAAGACAGGGAGAAAATTCCAGTTTAAGAGCAGAGCAACATTTGCACAGCTTAAAGATGAGAGAGGAGCCGGGACAATCGAGAGCAAACATGTCTCCTGAGTGAAACAGAGAGCTGTTCTCCTTGAGATGAGGATAATGAGAACTACAGGTTCAAAGGTTTCCCTGATCAGAAAAGAGTTATAAGGTCCACATGAGGTAAACCAAAGAGTTAGCATCAGTACAGGGTGGGGAAAAGGTGAAGGATATTGTTAAAGCGAAATATAAGCTAAGTGGCAGTGAATGTGACTAGGCATTACATCCTAGCAATTGTCCTAACCAACACAAGGATGCAGTTCAGGGCATTTCACAAACCAAAATTTGAAGAGAAACATTTGCTGGACATAGACAGGCATTATCAAAGCCCACATGAGTGGGATGAGTGAGCAAACTGTGCCTGCCAGGAGTACCCAAGGAAGCCAACCCTGACTGGAGAAAATCTGGGAAAGTCAAGTTTAGACCATGATACCATATTTTCTTTCACAGATTCAGTTCAATCTGAGAGAAGATTGACAGCTGGAACTTTTTCCTCTGAAGACTGTGAGGAAAACACAGATACCCACTGATGGAAGCTAGCTTTGGGTAAGTTACTAGATATTGAAGAAAAAACGTCTTTTTTTCTGGTGAGAAATTCAGACACATTTAGATTTGAATGTATCTAAAATATGTTTAAATTTATTTCTAGTTTCAAAGAGTTCATTAAGAGCATGCCACATCTGGAGGGAAGAGAGCAAACAACTTTTGAAGCTTCTATTCTAGGAAGAGTAAGTCAAGCTAAGTTTGAAACTAGAAGAAGAGAAAATTTGAGCAATAAATTAGTGAGAAGTGAACCTTACGTTGAGAAAACAAACCTACCCGACCTTAGCTGTATACAACAGTCTCCTCCTTATCTGCAGAAGCTACATTTCAAGACTTCCAGTGGATCCCTGAAACTGCAGATAACACTGAACCTTATATATACCATGTTATGTTTGTTTCTTCATTTGCTTGCTTGTTTGTTTTCTGAGACAGAGTCTCGCTCTGTTGCCCAGGCTAGAGTGCAGTGGTGTGATCTCGGCTCATGGTGACCTCTGCCTCCCAGGTTGAAGCAATTCTTCTGCCTCAATCTCCTGAGTAGCTGGGATTGTAGGCATGCACCACCACACCTGGCTAATTTTCATATTTTTAACAGAGACGAAGTTTCACCATATCGGCCAGGCTGGTTTCAAACTCCTGACCTCAAGTGATCTGCCCACCTCAGCCTCCTAAAGTGCTGGGATTACAGGTGTGAGTCACCGCTCCCAGTCTACTATGTTTTTTCCTATACCTACATATCTACGATAAAGTTTAATTTATAAATTAGGAAGAGTATTAGATTAACAACAATAAAAAACAATTATATAACAATATACTTGAGTAAAAGTTATGTGAATGTCATTCCTCTTTCTCTCAAACTATCTTATTGTACTGTACCCTTCTTGTTGTGATGATGTGAGGTGATAAAATGCTTATATGATGAGATGAAGTGAGGTGAATGACATAGGCATTGTGAGGTAACGTTAGGCTACAATGGACCTTCTGACGATTTATCAGAAGGAAGATCATCTACTTCTAGTGATCCTAGATCATGGAGCCATGGCAATGCTGATGGCTGAGGAGCAGACGGTATGAGTCACTGATGGATGGGTAGCATGCACGATGTGGATACACCATACAAAGGGCGATTCGCATCCCAGTGGACAGAGCTGGATGAGAGGCTTCATCGCACTGCTCAGAATGGCAGGTAATGTAAAACTTATGAACTGTTCATTTCTGGAATTTCCCATTTAATATTTTTGTACTGCAGTTGACCTACAGATAACAGATACCGTGGAAAGGAAAAACCACAGATGACAGGGTACTATTTTGTCTCTTCTAATGAGTACTCTTAGCTATGACTATTATTGACAGAAGTGTATCTGTCATTGTTTATATTTAAAGATATCTCTACACCCAGTCTGGCAAACTTATATTGTGTTTGTAAGGAATTTAATTTTATAGGAAAAACAATACAGGCTAGTGATCACAAGTGTGACCTCTGGTGTTTGGATTTTAACCCTGGCTCTCCATTTAGCGCCTGTGGGATGTAGCTCACTTAAACTATAGAAACTTCCATATCAGCACTTCCACATAGCAGTCTATTATCTTTAACGAATATGAGTTTTCCCAGTTTACTGAGTCTACTGATTTTCTATCATTATTTTTACATGTGCTTTGTAATGTTGTAAAAATTTGTAAATTTTAGCTCAGCTCATCTTCAGCAAGATCTTCAGCAATTCCATGCAAAGTAGGCTGAGAAGAGACCCCATGGGACAGTTTTTTTGTTTCTTTTCACTAAACCAATTTTTCTAAGATAGTCATTATCAGGATTTTTTTTTTTTTTTCAAGACAGTGGATAAATTTTTATTGAGCCACTTAGTTTACAACATGAGGTAAAAGGAAAAAGTTCTCCTTGACCAGTATTTTACACAGCTGTAGGAAAGTATTTTAGACTTCAGGGATTCATAAGGGATTACATCTCTCAAAAGCTGGGATCAAGTAAACAAATTTTATTAACTCCTTGAATTTTCCAGTTGACTCTTCCTTTACCATAGTAACAAGTTCTAACGAGTTATGTAAGTTTCTTCAAGGCCAAGTTTTATCATTGTTGCTATTATCCTTAGAGCTGAACTATTTCAGTCAATATCCACTAATTCCACTTCAAAAATGAGTTTTGCATTTGGTGGAATTTTGGCATCAGGCTGTCCTTTCTTTCCATAAGCCCATTCTGGTTCAATCTCCAGTCGAGCCTTTTCTCCTTTACTCATAGTCAAGAGGGCTTCATCCCATCCTCTGATAACTTTGCCTACTCCGACCTTAAAACTTAAAGGCTTGGCATTTTTCTTCTTCTTTGCACTTGTTTGAATATTAGTATCAAACACAGTCCCATCTTGTAGTGTTCCTGTATACCAGCAATGAACAACATCTCCCTTTTTGGGAAAGTTGGTTTTATCTCCCTTTTTCAGCACAGATTTAGTATATTTTGGTGGACCCTCATCCAGGGTCTCTTCAGACTTGGTTTCTTTGGGTTTATCTTCATTAAGCTTCACATTTTTTACTTGCTCAGACACTTTACTTATACTTTCAGTACCCTTAAAACGCTTAGTTTCAAAAAGATGGTTATAGGCTGTAACCAAGTGGTCCTTGTTAGCTGTCTTGGCCACATTTTTAATGTTTCCTAATAATTTATGTTCTGCAAGAAACGAATCTGAACCGTGTTCCTGCAGAAACTTGATAATGTCCTTCTTGGGCAGCTGCTCACTGCGCAGCTGCTCCACGGTCCACGCCCGCTGTGGAACAGCCGCCGCCATCTTCCCCTGCTGCCTCCGCTTTACTCCATTATCAGGATTAAGTGGGTATTTGTGAAGGACTAAGAATAGTACCTAGCCATTCCCAGCAATGTAATTACTCAACGAGTGAGTATTTGCTGAGAAATATTTCTTAGTTTGTAACTCCAGAGTAGCCACAGGATTCCAGCTTCTCACAGATGACTTTTTCTACCCGAGATGCCCATTGTGACTGCTGTGTCTTCCGGTCAAAGGAAAGAATTCTAGACCCTATTTAAAAGACAATACAGCCTTTCCCAACTTCTAGCTTAGGCAGGGAGCTCACTTCCAGACACATAGGACCCTTGGCCTTGACTTTTAATCACCCCATCCCATTGTTTGTAAAATTCTAGCCTCTTAGGCCTATAGCACGTTTCTTTTTGTTATTCTTCAACTTTTGAGTTCTGGGGTACATGTGTAGGATGTGCAGGTTTGTTGCATAAACGTATGCCATGGTGGTTTGCTGCACAGATCAACCCATCACCTAGGTATTAGACAGTCCAGCATCCATTAGTTATTCTTCCTGATGCTCTCTCTCCCCTAACCCCCTCAGACAGGCCCCAGTGTGTGTGTTCCCCTCCATGTGTCCATGTGTTTCATCATTCAGCTGCTGCTTACAAGTGAGAACATTCGATGTTTGGTTTTCTGTTCCTGTGTTAGTTTGCAGAGGATAATGACTTCGAGCTCCATCTATGTCCCTGCAAAGGACAAGATCTTGTTCCTTTTTATGGCTGAAGAGCATTCCATGGTGTGTATGTACCACATTTTCTTTATCCAGTCTATCACTGATGGGCATTTGGGTGGATTCCATGTCTTTGCTATTGTGAATAGTGCTGCAATGAACATATGCGTGCATGTATCTTTATAGTAGAATGATTTATATTCCTTTGGGTATATACTCAGTAATGGGATTGCTGGGTCAAATGGTATTTCTGCTTCTAGATCTTTGAGGAATCACCACACCGTCTTCCACAATGGCTGAACTAATTTCACTCCTTCCAACTGTGTAAAAGTGTTTCTTTTTCTCCACAACCTCACCAGCACCTTTTGTTTCTTGACTGTTTAGTAATTGCCATTCTGACTGGTATAAGATGGTATCTCATTGTGGTTTTCATTTGTATTTCTCTAATCATCAGCAATGTTGAGATTTTTTTCCATATGTCTGTTGGCCACATGAATGCCTTCTTTTGAGAAGTCTGTTCATGTCCTTTTTCTACTTTTTAATAGAGTTGTTTTTTTTCTTGTAAATTTGTTTAAGTTCCTTCTAGACTCTGGATATTAGACCTTTGTCAGATGGATAGATTGCAAAAATTGTCTTCCGTTTTGTAGGTTGTCTGTTCACGCTGATGATTGTTTTGCTGTGCAGAAGCTCTTTAGTTTATTCAGAACCCATTTGTCAATTTTTGCTTTTGTTGCAGTTACTTTCAGCATTTTTGTCATGAAATCTTTGTCCATGCCTATATCTTGAATAGTATTGCCTAGATTTTCTTCTGGGTTTTTATAATTTTGGATTTTACATTAAAATCTTTAATCCAACTTGAGTTAATTTTTGTATAAGGTATAAGGAAGGGGTCCAGTTTCCATTTTCTGCCTATGGCTAGCCAGTTTTCCCAGCACCATTTGTCAAATAGGAAATTTGTTCCCTGTTGCTTGTTTTTGTCAGGTTTGTCAAAGATCAGATGGTTGTAGGTGTGTGGTGTTATTTCTGAGTTCTCTATTCTGTTCCTTGGTCTGTGTGTCTGTTTTTGTACCAGTACCATGCTTTTTTGGTTTCTGTAGCCTTGTAGTATAGTCTGAAGTCAGTTCGTGTGATGCCTCCAGCTTTGTTCTTTTTGCTTAGAGTCATCTTGGCTATTTGGGCTCTCTTTTGGTTCCATATGAATTTTAAAATAGTTTTTCCTAATTCAGTGAAGAGTGTTAATGGTAGTTTAATGGGAATAGCACTAAATTTATAAATTACTTTGGGCAGCATGGCCATTTTCAAAATATTGATTCTTCCTATCTATGAGCATAGAATGTTTTTCCATTTGCTTGTGTCCTCTCTGATTTCCTTGAGCAGTGGTTTGTAGTTCTCCTTGAAGAGGTCCTTCACTTCCCTTGTTAGTTGTATTCCCAGCTATTTTATTCTCTTTGTAACAATTGTGAATGGGAATTCATTCATTGTTTTGCTCTCTGCTTAGGCCTGTGGCAAATTTCAATAGCTCTGTGGGCTTTTCAGATTTAACCTACTCTCACGCTCTGACTTTGTTTCCTCTTTATTTCTAACTCCTCAAAATTTCTCTTTTTTTGCTTTTGAGCTGGACTGTGGGATTTCTGACTTTGTTACATTGTAACAACTCCACAAGTTGGGAATGTGCTATTCGCACTTCCTACATCAGTTCAGTCTACCATATGGATTGGAAGTCACCTGCTCTACATACATAACCATCAACACCAATGGTAAAAAAACAGTAGAATGCACCATAGAGACACCTCCCAAACCAGAAAATACCTAAAACCCTTTGGTGAGCAATAAATTTTAACATTCACACATAAAATGTTATCTTAACATTTATTACTATTAAGTTATTTCATGCAATAATATCTGATCATGTTTGCATTATTATCTGAAAACCAAATTCATTCACCCTTCTAATGCATTTCCATTGTTAATTAAAAATTCAGGGTGTAATTGTTCACTCTCAGGGATAAAATCACATTTCTTTTTAGTTCTTTTCTAGATTCCCCAAATTATCTCCATGTAGTTTTCTTTTTAATTAGACTATTAGCTTCTTCATTAAGATTTCATGCTGTTCTAAGTGAATACCTAATAAACATTTTCAAAATACTGCATGCAAAAGCTCAGTCTATTTTTATCTTTCTGAAGTAGCCAGAGATCATATTTTAAACTGATTTTAAAATTCTAATAAGAATAATATTAATTGAAAAAGTTTTAAATAAACATACCAGGTAGAATTTTTATTTTAATTATTTAGCATATTAAAGAAAATTGAATTGATTCTGACTAAATGAGTCCCTCAAACTCCACCCAAACCATAGTTCTATAGGAAGAGACAATACTGAGGAAACAAATTATTCACCCAGTATTTTACTTCTACTCCGAGAAATTATCATATAGAAAAGAATACTCTAAAACTCTTGACCAGAGCATGCTGGGTAATCTGTACTTTGTAGGAAGAGAGCCACAGCATGAATTTAGTGAATGTCAAACTGCAATAGAAAAAAATATTTGTCCAGCCTGAATGTCTCAACAATGGTCACTTAATTAAATACATTATGGTACAGGCATATGACAAAACATACTATCCCATAAAAATAATATTATAGACTATTCAACAACATGGAAAGATATTGATAATATTTTGATATGTATGATTGTATTTGTCATAAAATGAAATTTCCCTGCAAATAAAGAATCTGAAAATATGGGTGGATCCAGGTTTTGTACCATCTAAATTTTAAAAAATAAGAAGAGAAGCCATTTTAGGAAAAAACACAAAATGATGAATACAAAATTACGTTAAGTCCCAATCAAGGCCTGGAAAGGGACCTATAGGCAAGCTTCATTAATTCCATATAAATCTGTCTTTGTCTGAAAGATTATACCACAAAATTTTAACAGGTATATATCTAGAAAACAGGATTGTCAGTTATCTTTTTAATATTCTCTCTGCCTGCCATTATTTTTTAAATTTTCCATAATAAAAGAAACAATTACTTATTTAATAGGAATTAAAATATTTTTAAAATAAGCTTTTACAGAGGAAGGTACAGGTTACCTATTTTGCCCAGCCAAAGCAAAAGAATATTGATTTCAAATGTCAAATAGAGCCCATCTGGGCCAAGTATATGCTTATAACAATATCTGGAAAGATTGTCTGAAAAAATACTAAGACAACAAACTGTTGAGAATGACTGAATCCACATTCTGTAATGAGAACTCAATGGATTTTACTTTATGCTAACTACACTAAATATAAAAATAATCAGCAGATACAATTTTTCTGATATAAAATGGTCACGTATCCTTTATGTCACTTTTTCATTACACACTGTGTAGAATTACAAAGTCCTTATTAATTCTGTCTCTTAAAAAAATTAAAGTCCAAACTGTTTCTCCCTCCCCTACTATTCTGGTCCAATCAATCATCAGCTCTGGCAGGAAATACTGTAATAGCCCTGTCAGCAGTCCCTGCTTCCACTTGGCCCCTACACACCATCAGAGTCCATTCTGCACACAGCAGCCACAGGAGTCTTTCAGAAGCACAAACCAGATCATGCTGCTCCTGCCTTAAAACCCTTCAGTGGCTTCCCAACGCACTAGGAATGAAATGCAAATATGATGCACAGGGCCTGCAGGCCTCTGCATGTTTGGCCTCCTGCCTACTCCCCAGGCTAACTCCTTACAGTTCTCCCTTGGCTCATACTCATCCCATCACACTCCTCACCTGCCTACGCCTTAAACAACAAGTTCTTCTGCTTCATCATGTTTGCACTTTCTGTTCTCTCCCTCTGGGCTGTTTAACCCCCAGTTCTTCAATTGTCTGACCACTCCTTACTCGGAAGATTTCTGCTGGTTTCTCGTTGCCTCACTCTCTTAAAGCTATGACTCTACCCACCAGGCCTCCTACTTTCTAATGCAGCACCCAGAATATTAATGGAAGTTATCTCTCAGGGGTGGAATTGCAGACTTTTTTTCATCTTATGTACATTTGGTTTACTACATTTTCTAAAATGAACATTTCTTTTATAAGAGGAAATCATTAAAACATCTGTAGACCAGAAAAGACAATTCATTTATTTGTCCTTGTATATATTCACTTAAGACTACTGACAATAATTTACCACATGATCCAGAATTTTTTTAATCTTCCATGCTCCAACGGGATTCCAGTTCATTGAAGGGCCTGTTCAAATGTCAATCCACTGTGAAGATTTCACCCAAGAAAATATGTACGATCCTCTTTTATATTCCCATATCATCTCATAACTAGTACTACTGTAGCTCTTATCA